CATTATATAATAGAGAACCATATTGAAATACTAAACTATAAAGGACACAATACTTATATAACCTTCAGGTACGCCATATTCAATTACATTAAATGAGATTAAATTTCCATTAACAAAAAAGATTTAATGTCTATTTTTCAGGGGGAGGGCGGGTTGTTTTTTTTGAAGGACAATATTGGTGTCAGCCATTATTACATATGTGACTTAAACACATTCCAAATATAATTTTAACACAGAAATCATTGCTACGGTAGATGTGTAACGAACATTTGAAGAAACGGGAAGTGACATCAAAAATGACAAACACGAGTTATCGTTCTATATAACTTCTATATTTCATTTCACTGATAATCCGTTGAAGATGAAAATTTGTTATATGAGACTGTGAGAGGATATCTGACAATCCATAAAAGTAATTGGTGCACTAGATAAGAGAAAACGAGAAAAAATAGAAAAGGTCCGAGCATTCCCTTATTTTTCTTTATTCTGTACTTAAAGATACATTATGGGAGATTAGGTAAAGAGTTGGCAGTTCTAATTATAATAGTTAAAAACTAGATAATGTAAAGGTAATTTGCTGAAAATTTCAGTCAAATTGATCCACTCTGAACCGAGAAATTAGCGATTGAAGTTTCGGTCTATCCTCGATCATCATTTTACTAAAGTTGGTACAATAAAAAACATAGTCTCGATTATCCATTACATGATTAAATAATGAATGAAAGTTGAGCAGCAAATCGGACCCTAATCCAGTAAATATCGCTGGCTAGCGATGACATCGAGACTTGATTATGGTCTGGATAAGTTAATTAATGTCTAATTAATAATTTAGATAACATTTCAGGCCTAAAGAAAGACGTGCAATAGGCAGATTTAGCCCTTGCATAATGTATGTTTAATGAAAACATGCTAATGCACGGACTTTTTCTAATTTATTCGTGTTCTCTTAGTCAATTTTTTTTATGACTTGTCAGATTGTCCACCCATTTACTCATCTCGAGTTATTAATTAGTTTCTCATCTGTACATCGTTGTCTTTATGACAAGCCTTGTTAGCGAACTGCCCAGAACCACTTTCCCAAAGTTTTGTTAGCGTCTTTAATAACTTAACTGCCCAGAGTCACTTTCCTAGCCATCCGTAATCGTCTGTACAACGATTACACATCCCCGTCGCCATATATATTTGGTTGGGATGGAACTTTATAAGGAAGTAATTTGTTTCATGGACAAAGTCACTTCCATAGCTTTTTTACAGTTAAGTATGGAAACCCGTTTGTACCATATTATTAGTTATGCATACACCGATATGAAACCCATTTTGTTCGTTGTCTTTATAAAAAATCTTGTTTACGCCTTTTAATACTTTAACTGCCCAAATCCCCTGGAGATGTCAGGGGGCTTTATAAGGCATTTCCGATAGGTTTCTTGAAATGTTCAATTCTTGAAATCTTTTAGTTATTTCGATAATCTCTTCGTCATCTGAATGTTTTTGAACAATCATTTTCCTCAACTGTTTTATGCTTCTTCCGATTGATTCTAATCTTAACATTGTTATTTGCAGTTTTTCGATACAGTCTTCAACGATTTCACCCCCTTGTTTATTCGATCCGCCATTTTGTGTCGATTTATTAATGGGGCTTTATAAGACATTTCCGATAGGTTTCTTGAAATGTTCAATTCTTGAAATCTTTTAGTTATTTCGATAATCTCTTCGTCATCTGAATGTTTTTGAACAATCATTTTCCTCAACTGTTTTATGCTTCTTCCGATTGATTCTAATCTTAACATTGTTTTTTGCAGTTTTTCGATACAGTCTTCAACGATTTCACCCCCTTGTTTATTCGATCCGCCATTTTGTGTCGATTTATTAATGGAAACATCTTTCGATGAACAGTTATGGAATGAAGTCGAATGGGTCGAAGAATAGGAATTGCTGAAATAAATAAAAGACAATATATTTTTTTTTATCTTAAAGAGATATTTCACTGAATGGTTAAAATGGTGCCTGGTCGTTGCAGAAGTTATGGCAAAATGGCAAATGAAATAACACTGGGATTAAAGTCTCAACTTTTCTGCACCTAAATATATTTCTAATGACCATGCCATTTGAACAAATCATACGTCATAAATTCCTTAAATACAAATCTAGCGATTACATCCGAATTACTCACAATGTTTGCGGCGAATCTTTCATACAAGCTGTTTTGGCTACTTCGTAATATCTGGGCGTTTAATGTGTATATATTATGTAAACCTACTTTTATCAACGTGTTCCCTCCGACAACTGCTCCGTTAACCGTTGACGATTAAAGGGTAAGGTTGGGGTGGGTGTCACTATACAGCATTAATTATACATCAAGCTACCAGATACGCTGGGTTATTAACAGAATAAAATGATGAACGAAGACGGGCATAAGCCATGCAGTATGCTGGTATGAGGGATATTTTGCTCGGACAGTCAAAGTTTTTTTTGCGTGCACGTCAATGTACGGGATCCCGGTTGTCCTTTGCAGGGCCTCCGTTCTGAATCAAGTCTCATCCGGGACCACACCGGAAAATACAGATGAACTTCCTTCAAACAAGGATCGAACACGGAACCTCCAGGTTAGCCAGCCAACGTCTTACTCACTGAGCTACCGTGGTTCGTTCGTTCGTTTCTGGAGTTTTACGTCCACTTCTACAGAGGGTGATATCGTAGACAAGAACTACCTTGGCTCGCTATTAACAGAGAAAATAGGCCATATCGACCATTGTATTCAGATCATGCGTAAGCTAGGTTATTGGGTCTTATTACCCGAAGGACTACGAACAGGGACCATAGAATGATCAATTTTTAATTCTTAGGAGCAGATACTAAACACCATCAATAATATGCGAATACCAGAAGATGCATAAAGCAGCCGAAGAAAATCTTTCATCAAAAACATTTAGATCAGCAGTTTTTTTCGGTAAATTTACTACACTGATCAGCGAGAAAATATTCGCTAGACCGCTAATATCACTGTGGGGAGTATGCGGAGCGGTTAATGTGGTCGCAATATTAACTTTTCCTTCTGCAAATTAAATACTAGAACATACTTTTGAAGTAATAGAAAAATAAAAAAAGGTGTTTGAAGTATATCTGGATAATAAACATTTCTTATTTAGTGTAAATGAATAGGAAAAGACGCCATTCTGCCCGGACTAGACCACGTTATGTTTAAAACATTGCACGAGCCATCAAACCAATGACCATCCCAAACTTAGGCTGCCTGTCTACAGCTAGCTCCGGCTGACGCAGGTGGATCGCTGTGTGCAGTATGACCAATGACAGGTGATGTACTTCACACGTAGAATGCATAGTATGAACTTTATAAAGCTCAGTTATCTTACACATAGTTGTAAAAAGACGACCTTCGCAATACCTCCACGAAACAGATTGTAAATTTACCTTTGTGATGAACTACAATAGATGGATGTCTTCGGTATATCACCTCTGTTGAAATCAGACGCAGAAGTTGAAGTTATGTTAGAATTGTCTACCCTTGTTTCATCCGAACTATTTATAGACGGACTTTTCCAAGGAGGTATATTTGGAGCATCCCCTGTCTGGGTCGGATTGGAGTCTTTTGGTTTAATAACTTCCGTCTTTAAAGAAGGTTTTGGATTCGACTTCAAAGAAGTTTTTGGTTTCCTACAGTTCAACTTATTTTTCTTGCACTTTCGATTCGTCTTATATCTGGCATATTTTGCATAACCATGTTCAGAAGGCGGTGATACGGCACTGAAGTGAAAAACATTGCCAGACATCTTTACTTCTTGGTTCTTGGTTAGCAGCCGCAATCATTGCATGAAGAGTTGTAGTCATGTATCTTGTAGATATGACCATGTATATCCATGTTCCAACTATCGCGTCATTTACCTATAAATTAAGCAGAGTATACGTATTCCTCTAATATTACTTCTCATTTGAGGAGTTCACGTAGTTAAAATACTTTTGTTGTGCTGTTCTGTGTATTCCAAATAAAACCTGGTAGAATTGCGGTCAATATATTTCTATAATTCAACGTATTCCTGCATAAATTCTGATACAATTAGACCATAATAATATTGTAACTATATATGAAACTGATACTACATTTGTAAACCACATTCTAAGAACAACGTCTCCTGTAAGATGCAAATTATCACTTATTATCTTTTTATATATTTCTTTAATATTAATTTCGTTCCACAATATTTTGGTCTAAGAATGCATAAATTTTGATCAACTTTAAGCGAGAAGGTAGTCTAGATTATTTAGGCCTGTCATTGTTTTAGTTGACTTAATTTGCGCCTGGATGTAGGAGACTGTTATTTAATTGACAACTTGTTCGCTTAAGCAAGCGTGGTCTTCAGCACCAGTTTTGTAACGCTTGGAGGGCATAAAACACGGTAAGATGAATTACCGCAGCATATTAAGTTATAGTTTAATCTAATCCATAAGTTTTGTAATGTGTTATAGTCATATATTGTTATTATTCGATGATATTGACAGTCGACATGCATGACTGATTTATCACGTGGTTGTGCAGGTCCCAGAAAATTCCAGGCACTCGATGCTATTTTATGTTTCTTTATTAAGATAGTTTATTGATAATTATTGTCCGGTGCTTGATTGGTTTATTTATCCTTTTCAGTCAATCACCACCACCACCACCACCTCTACTCTAATCACCATCACATCACCACCACCGTCATCATTATTTATTAATGTAGCCTATGTCTCTAGTCTTGAAAGATCTTCGATCAACTGTATAAGATTTTGAGATGTATTAAACCTGTAACCAAATTAAACAATATTCTAAGAGTTTTGGTGCATTGTTGTTTGTGCCCTACATCATTGACGTGTTAGCTGTTCAACATGCAATCTACTGGTGCTGGAGACCACAAGTCAAGTGACAGTTGTGCTGATATTGATAAACATGTGCAGAATCAAGTACTGGTAAATACACTGTTTAAAGGTTTGAAAAGAGGTGTGAAAGACATTAATCAATTGATTTTTGATAATGCAGAGATTGCAACTGTTAGAAAGCATTACTCTGAATGGATGACTCTTTATGATAAATACTTAAGCTGTCATGATGCATATTGTTTACATTTATCTAATGAAGATAGAGCCGCGTATTATGATGATTTCTTTGAAGATCGTGATGTGTATTTATCAAATTTTATGTCTTCAACTAAAAATTGGTTTGTTCAAACTGAAGGCATAGCTACACCTACAAAACCAGTATGTGCGAAAGAAAAATCTGTTCGTTCGAGTCATCGTTCTTCACATCGTAGTTCATCACATTGTAGTTCTTCACATCGTAGTGACATTTCCTCATTAAAGTTTCATGAAGAACAAAAGAATTTAGAACTCTCAGCTAAAGTGGAGGCATTAAGGCAAAGAAAAGACATTGAAGCTAAAAGACTAGAATTAGAATTTATTGAAAAGGAATTAGACTTGAAAACGGAATTAGCTATTTCACAAGGCAAATCAAAACTGTACGAACGTTATGCTCCATCGTCGAAGGATGAGGCCTCTAGTGTTGTAGGCGAAGTTAAAGAAAATACAGACTCTAATGTGAAAGTTAAAGATTCTAATGACATAATTTCTTCTGACGCATGTAATACAACATATAATGTTGACAGGACTGTTCGAGAAACTGTTAATACATGTAATGATGATAATTCTTTTGATAAACTAACAATTAGACCTACACATAAACAATGTGAATTTAATAAAGATGTTAGCCCTTTTGAAAACAAGCCTGACAGTGTTTCAGCAAACTTGGTACCTGATCAAAATTTGACGCCACATAATGCTGAAGGAGCCTTGTACTCTATGATTAAACATATCAAGAAACCTAATACAAGTATTCAACCGTTTGATGGTAATATTTTGGAGTATCAAAGATTTATTAGACAATTTAATTCTGTGATCGTAACAAATTGTGACACTTATGATGAGCGCTTGAACTTTCTTGATCAATTTACATCAGGAGAAGCAAATAAAATTGTTCGTAGTTATAGTTATCTTCGTGCTGACAAGGCGTATGATTGCGCTTTGAGTCAACTACAATCTAGATATGGTAATAGTGAACTGATAGCGAATGCTTTTATAGAAAAGGCCTTACATTGGCCAGTTATCAAGTCAGACAATCCTAAGGGTTTAGATGACTTTGCTTTATTCTTAACAGAATGTCTTCATGCAGTTAAAAGTATTGAAGCGGTAAACATTTTGGAGTACTCTGAAAATATTAAAAGAATTCTACAAAAATTACCCTATTTTATTCACGATAAGTGGAGAAACATTGTTCAGTCTACTAGAGATAAAGGACACAGTGTCCATTTTGATCAACTCGTGGAATTAATTAATACTGAAGCTCTGAAAGCTAATGATCCAACATATGGTAAAAAGGCCTTGTTGGGTGACCGGTTATTAAGTACACCAATCCGCAAATCACATGTACAAGTACATGCAAATAGACCAAAGGGATCATTTGCCATTCAACAAGTAAATTCAAGGCCCAATGAACAATCAACTTACATGTATACAAGACCTTATAACACAGACATAGCATTTACCAAGCCATGTTGTTACTGTAAGCATCCCTCGCATTCAATGTTTGTATGTAAACAATTATCATCTTTACCAGAGTCAGTGAAGAAGGACTTTGTTAAATCTAAACGTTTATGTTTTGGTTGTTTAAAACCAGGTCATATTTTGCAATACTGTAGTAAGAAAACTAAGTGCCCAAATAATGAGTGTGATGAAAGTCATCATCCTGTATTACATGATAATAAGAACAATAATCAAACAAAAACTGATCAAAAACCTGTGGTAGCGAGTACTCTTAGTAACGATATGGAGGCCGGAAACCATAATGATAGCCCATGTACAATGGCAATTATACCTGTTATGGTAAAAACAAAGAATGGTCATAATGTTGTTGAAACATACGCTTTTCTAGATCCGGGATCTAACGTTTCATTTTGTACTGAAAATTTGATGCGACAGTTGTCCTGTAATGGTAAAAGAACTAAATTGACCTTTGACACTATGGGTTCTACTCATACTTTGAATTCGTTTGTTATTCATGGTATGCAAGTGTGTGATTTGACTTTATGTAATACTGTTGACTTGCCAACCATTTATACTAAAGACTGTATACCTGTTTCACATGATCATATACCAACTACTAATGACCTTAGTAAGTGGCCTCATTTAAGTGGAATTGACATTCCTGTTTTAAATGCTGAAATCGGGTTATTAATCGGCAATAACGTGCCCAATGCTTATTCACCAATAGAAGTAAAAACAGGGCCATCTGATAGTCCGCATGCTGTATTGTCGTCTTTAGGTTGGATTATTTGGAATCTAATTAGAGATTCGTCTAGTTTAGTAAATACTGTTAATAGACTTGATGTGCAAGCTGTTCAGAATTTTGAAGATTTGCGAGTATTAGTTCAACGAACAACTAAGTTTGATTTTCCGGAAAGATCGATCGACGATGTAAGGGAAAATTCACAAGAGGACAATGCTTTTATAAGAAAGGTTAATCAGACAATAAATTTTGAAAACGGACATTATACTATTGGCTTGCCTTTTCGTGACGAGTTTATTTTGTTACCTAATAACAGAGTGCAAGCAGAGTGTCGATTAAATAGTCTTCAGAACAAAATGCGCAGAGACACTAATTATTGTAATGACTATATTAAATTTATGACTAAAATTATCTGCAATGGCTATGCAGAAGTGGTACCAGATAGTCAAGTCAACAGAGATGATGGGCAAGTGTGGTATATCCCACACCATGGTGTGTATCATCCAAGAAAACCAGGCGAGTTGCGAGTTGTTTTCGATTGCGCAGCCATGTATGACGGTATATCGCTTAATCGGCAGCTACTGCAAGGTCCTGATATGACCAATACATTAACAGGTGTTTTAATTCGCTTTCGACAGGATAATACAGCTATTATGGGTGACATAGAAAAAATGTTTTACCAGGTTCGAGTACCCGAGTGTGACCGTGACTTTTTGAGGTTTCTATGGTGGCCCAATGGAGACACTAGTTGTACGCCAAACACATATAGAATGGTTGTTCATCTCTTCGGTGCTGTGTCATCCCCGTCCTGTGCGAATTTAGCTTTGCGCCAAACTGCAATTGACAATTCCCATTTGTTTGATGACAATATAGTTTCTTCAATACTTAAGAATTTTTACGTAGATGACCTACTTAAGTCATTAAAAGATTGTTCAAGTGCTGTAGAATTCGTTAAAGACATTTGCGCAATATGTGAAAATGGAGGTTTTCGCCTTACAAAATGGGTGAGTAACGAACGCAATGTGTTGCATGCTATACCCGTTAACGAGAGAGCCAAGGACATAAAAGAATTAAACCTCGACTGTGAACTTTTACCAGTAGAACACGCACTAGGCATTAGGTGGGTGGTAGAAAGTGATGTTTTGAAATTTAGTGTGAAGCTAGATAAGTTATCAGTAACAAGACGCGGAATATTATCTGCAGCTAGCTCTATATATGACCCACTAGGTCTCGTTTCACCTTTCGTTTTGCCTGCAAAGTTGTTGCTACAATCACTTTGTCAACAGAATCTAAATTGGGATGACGTAATACCTGAGACCGATCTACATACTTGGCATCAATTCCTAAACAACCTGTCTGGCTTAGAAAATTTCAAGATTCCAAGAAGTTATAAACCGGCGAATTTTGGAAAGATTGTTTCGTCTCAAATTCATACCTTTTCCGATGCGAGTAACATTGGTTATGGTGCTGTAACATATATCAGACTCGTAAATGAAGACTGTAAAATTCACTGTGCGTTGATGTTTAGTAAATCTCGCGTTGCTCCACTTAAGAAATTAACTGTGCCACGATTAGAATTAACTGCAGCTACTGTTGCTGTTCGCTTGACTAATATGCTTGTGAAAGAACTCGAAATTCAAATTGATAATATGTTTTACTGGACTGATAGTATGTCAGTTTTAGAGTACATTAGAAATGAAGGCGCTCGTTTCTTAACATTCGTTGCAAATCGTATTTCTGTGATTCATGATGGTAGTTCAGTATCTTCATGGCGTTATATAAGCACAAAATTGAACCCAGCTGACGACTGTTCAAGAGGATTAAACTTTGATAGTAACGTAAGAATACAACGGTGGTTTAATGGACCCAGATTTTTGCTGAAACCAGAGAATGAAGGCCTGTCGAAGAGGAATTCTCTCCAAGTACTCCTACTGATGATTTAGAAGTGAAGAAAGTTGTTACTTCGACTGTTTTGAACACTGGTATTATAGATAAACTTTTCTGTCATTTTTCGTCTTGGGATAAGTTGAGAAGAACAGTTTCTCTATTACTGTTATATTTTGATAAACTGAAATATTGGTCTAATAAAAGAAAGGATGTTTACCACAGTAAAAAGATATGGTGTTATTTTCACATGTTTAGCAACGCGTGCTGTGCACTTGGAAGTAGCGTATAGCCTTGACACCAGTTCTTGCATTAACTGTCTACGTAGATTTATCGCACGTCGTGGATCTGTTAAGTATATGATTTCAGATAATGGAACAAATCTTGTCGGTTGTGAACTCGAACTCCAAGAAGAAATTAATAAATGGAATGTTTCTAAAATCAGTAGCGAACTTATACAGCAGAACATTCAGTGGGACTTTAACCCACCCTCTGGATCTAATTTTGGAGGAGTGTGGGAACGTTTGATCCGAACAGTGCGCAAGATTTTATATGGACTCTTAAAAGAGCAATTAGTAAGTTTCGATGATGAACACTTGCAGGCTTTGTTTTGTGAGGTCGAAGCTATAATGAACTCACGACCTATCACCAAGGTGTCAGATGATATCAATGACCTCGAGGCCTTGACTCCTAATCATTTGTTATTGTTAAGAGCAGGTGAATCTTTACCAATAGGTGTGTTTGATAAAAGTGACAATTTCGCGAAACGTCGCTGGCGCCAAATTCAGTATCTTGCCAGTATATTTTGGAAAAGGTGGTCCAATGAATATTTACACAACTCCTACAGGAAAGACAAAAATGGATGATGCCAAAAAGAAATATCCGCATTGGAGATGTAGTAATGATAGTAGATGGCAATATTCGCGATTCATATTTATTAGGACATGTGTTAAGTGTATGTCATGATCACAAAGGCCTAGGTGTTACAGTTAAGACAAAAAACAATGTATTAAAACGGCCTGTAAATAAACTGTGTTTGTTATTAGAAGCAGACATGTAATCCCTGTATAGATTTAAGTGAATTACTTTTAGTAATTTGTACTAAATATGTCTTGTGCCTGTATAATGTCAGAGCATTAAATGTATATTACTGTTTTGAAATATTACTGATTATGAGATTACTGTTTGAAATATCACAGAGTATAAGATTACTGTTGGAATAACTGTTTATTAGTATATTACTGTTTTGAGAATAATACTGTTTGAGAATTACTGTTTTGAATATACTGTTTGGATATTACTATTTAGAATAACACTGTTTGAGATTACAACTGTTTTGAGTAGTACTGTTTAGAATGTTACTGTTTAGATATCAGTCAAGGATAGTAATCAATTACAACTGTTTGAAAGTTAATTGGTTGTACATTTGTAACATGTATTCCATCTTTTAGTCAAAATCATGTATATATGCTGAATGGATAATTTGCTCGCTTCATAGAAGAATTTTTTGTAATCGTTCCTTGACTATACACGATTAGGAGGCCGGTGTAAGATGCAAATTATCACTTATTATCTTTTTATATATTTCTTTAATATTAATTTCGTTCCACAATATTTTGGTCTAAGAATGCATAAATTTTGATCAACTTTAAGCGAGAAGGTAGTCTAGATTATTTAGGCCTGTCATTGTTTTAGTTGACTTAATTTGCGCCTGGATGTAGGAGACTGTTATTTAATTGACAACTTGTTCGCTTAAGCAAGCGTGGTCTTCAGCACCAGTTTTGTAACGCTTGGAGGGCATAAAACACGGTAAGATGAATTACCGCAGCATATTAAGTTATAGTTTAATCTAATCCATAAGTTTTGTAATGTGTTATAGTCATATATTGTTATTATTCGATGATATTGACAGTCGACATGCATGACTGATTTATCACGTGGTTGTGCAGGTCCCAGAAAATTCCAGGCACTCGATGCTATTTTATGTTTCTTTATTAAGATAGTTTATTGATAATTATTGTCCGGTGCTTGATTGGTTTATTTATCCTTTTCAGTCAATCACCACCACCACCACCACCTCTACTCTAATCACCATCACATCACCACCACCGTCATCATTATTTATTAATGTAGCCTATGTCTCTAGTCTTGAAAGATCTTCGATCAACTGTATAAGATTTTGAGATGTATTAAACCTGTAACCAAATTAAACAATATTCTAAGAGTTTTGGTGCATTGTTGTTTGTGCCCTACATCTCCTCTTATACTTGTTAGCTATTGTATACATATAAAAGGATTTATTTACACACGCCCCATTTTTAATTTCACAGTAATTCTACTTTCACTTTCTATTGTTGTACAAGTGAGTACGAGCGGAGGTTGTTGGGATCACCCGAGAGTTTTATAAAAACAGAAGCCCTCAGACAATATTTCTGCTCATTTAGGTGCCGCAAAACAGTAGGACGTTAAACCCTATTTTGTTTTCATTTAGGTGCCATTTGAAGTGTTTTAAGCACCAATCACGTGTTGTGAAACGTATATGTTCTGACCTCTCATCTCCCCACCGACATGCCTCTCGACTACTTGAAGTTAAAGTCACTGATTTCGTAACTCACCATAATTTAAATTGGGTATTAGTACGCCAATTTAATGCCAAAATATGGTAGTTTATTCACCCTATCATAAATTTGATAATCGCGACGAGCGCTTACCTCTATAATGAAATGAAACGGGGTTCAATGTTTTACTGTTCTTCTCCGACTGAGGTAATGAGGACGAAGCCTGACATACGCCAGTGTCCGATGAGGGAAATTGTGCCCGGACAGCTGCGCTACAACCTACTGTTATATGGAATTTTAACTGCCAAGGGGTGTTATACGAACCCGCCAATGATTATCGCCCCATCCGATACGTTGTCCCTTACCAGAATCACTGTCTGCAGTGCACCACTGACAAGAGGGGGGAAACACCTGAAAATCGCTACGAACTTTCTTGGCCAACACCGGGGTCGAACACGGGATCACCAGGTTAGGGATTCAACGTCTTACTCACTGAGCCACAGCTGTTCCTCCAGGCATATAAACATAGACGTATTAAATTCCACATGGGAACTTAAAGATTGTATATTTCTCAAACGTTTAGAATAAAAGGTTGGATCTTTCACACCGAATTAACTACTGTTCTTAACTAAAATATATATATATATATATATATATATATATATATATATATATCTAGAACTGTCCCTCTAATTTCATTGTGACATTCCTTTCACTTTCACTTTTCTTTTCCACGTTTTAAGTAGTGTGGACGTTTCGTTTTATGGCGTAGGCAGAGTGGACGTTTCGTTTTACGTGGGCCTGGATAGTACGTGGGCCTGCCCAGCAGTGTACTGCAACCAGCAACCTACTTAATCGGGGACTGCGCCAGCGCAAGTCTGAATACAATTTTGTCTTTTCACACCATTGATAATTAGTTGTCATTAAAGTAGCCACAAATAGGCTAAGGAAATAATCAGACATTTTGGATTACTCACATTTATGTTTTATATTTCTTTGCATTTGTTGTACTTTTATTAAAATACTAAAATAACTCATTAAATACATGCGATATAAATATATTTGACAGTAACAAAAAACAAAAAGCCAGCAAAACAAACAAATAAAACGAAGGTTGCTATGAAATTAAAGGTTTAAATAGCGGGTTATTAACAAAAAAATTTTCTCTTTCGAACATTACTTAATATGTTTGCGTAGGACTTTATTTATTTTTTAGTACTTTCATTAAATTGAGTGAAACCACTAAAACATTTTAACGAGAGTTTAACGTTGAAACTCTTTGTGAGAGATTGTATTCGCAGATTTTTCTCATATCTGGGATACAATCTAGTTTAAAAAACCTCGGGGAGTTCGGTGTATATCATTATAGCTACAGATTGTATTATGTCGGGGGCAATAATTACAATTTTACAAATGTATCGAAAAAAAGGTTAACGAAATTTCTGCGAAATGAACATGGGCGTTTCTTGCTTTGCATTCAGGAGAGAGCTCATGAACAACCGACATTTTAGAAATCATAGAAAAACAAAATGTCTTTAGACTAAGATGAAATTGAGTAAACAATCGAAAAATAAAACGGAACGAAATTCCGGAATAATTTTAATTAGACAGGTTAGTAGTAATCCAATCGATCAATGCGGACAGTCACCGTATTCTCACCGGATTCATTTAAGTAGCCATTTTGAGGACTGTCTAAAACGTTTAAAGGTATAACGTCCGACCAGACATAGGTAGAACCAGGCTTAAATCTGTATATGATATTTTCTAACCTGATCGACTCCTCTTCGTTTTTGTTATTTTCTAATGTCAGGGAAAAATTGACCAACACCCAATTGAGGAAATGATCAGTCTCGGGCATTGCTAACCTTAAAACGATTGATAGGTTGGTATTTCCAGGTTTATACTCGATCAACCAGGGTAAAGATTGGACGTTCTGCATTTCAATATTTTCTATGTAGGTAGGTCTATCAGCATCGATTCTTTCTTTCGCCAAAGCTCGACCAATATTTGTATCCAGAAATTCCCTCACTAACGCAAGACCTTGGCCGGTTTCGAGAGTTTGTCTGAGTAAAGCGTTCCCAGTATTCGAAGGCAGCCATTTTCGTATCTCAGACTGACCAGTTGTGGTGTTCAGCAAGTCTTGTAAAAGCGCTTTCCCTTGGTGAGACGTAATTATAAATTCCTTCATCAAGGAGAGTCCAAATTGCTCAGTGAGTATCTGCTTTAATAGATTTCTTCCTATTCCCCCTATCAAAAATTCTTTCACTAAAATTTTACCCACTTGGTTTGGAAGGAATTCTTTGATCAACTGACGTCCATTTGAAGTAAGAAGAACTTTTTTAAGCAGCAAAATTCCATCAGGATTTGAAATAAAATTCTCAACCAGTGATTTACCGATTTCGGACCGTATGAATTTTTTAACCAATGGTAGTGCGTACTGCTGCTTAGACAGAATAGTTTCTACCAGTGCTAGCCCTTTCTCGGTGATAAGAAACTGAGATACCAAAAGAAGTCCAGATTCAGTATTCAAAAAGGCTCTTACCAACTCCAAGCCCTGTTTGCATATAATAAACTGGTCAAAAATTTTTTTTCCACGAGGAGTGGAAAAGAAGGATTTAAGACACAATTGTCCAGAATCTGTCGACAGTAACTCTTTAAGTAAGGTTTGGTCATATTCCGTTATTAGAAATTCTTTGACAAACATGCTTCCTTGCTCTGTTCTAAGGACCTCAGCCAGATGATGTTGTCCATTTTCATTACCCAAAAGTTCTTGCATCATTATGTAACCATCCCTTGATTGGAGTAATTCCTGTATTTGGTTAGTAACTTCGTATCTCACCAATCCCTTAATGTCTTCTTGGTGGATACTTTCAGCTTCTCCCTCTGCTGTATCATCAGCTATGGCTTCGAGTTCTTCAATGAGACCGACTGATTTCTCGGTGTTTTCTTTAGTACTATCAATCTCGTCGACCTTCTCGACCTCGTCTACATCGTCTCTGGACAAATCTGCCCACAAACTACTCTCGTTTACGTCTAAGGTACCAAGCATCTCCATTAATGACGTAATTCGGAATTCGTCCAATTCAGCTTCATTAAATTCAACTTTCTGTAATTCGGGAAATTCCAACGGGGCCTCCAGTTCTTCTTGGTTTTCTATTTCTTTCTGAAATTTACGCGAAGACTCTGACATGTTCCGAACCGATGTGTTTGCTATGGAATTTTTAATGCGTTTTGAAATGGACTCCAATTCTGATTTACATGCCTTCATTTTCTGAGAATATTCCTTTATTTGTTCGTTGTTTGTGTAACACATTTTACCATTGTTTTTTTTAATATCGTCACCGAAACTTTTTATTTTATCGCACAAACGTTTTACCTGCTCATCTACCCTCGTGTTGATTTGTGCCGTGGACTTGCGGATCTCCTTTTGTTCATGGTGCAAAGAATCGATATTAGACTTACATTTTCGAATTTGTTCGTCTACTTCCAACTTCAAGTGTTTAAGCTCGCCTTTTACCTCTTTTCTATGTTCCTGGATCGCGTCTGCTTCCACGTTTCGATCGCGTAGAAAACAGATGTTGCATATATACCGAGAGTTCCCAGGGCAATAAAATGAAGCTTCTTCGTGTTTATGAAAGTCACAGACATCTCTGTTACGTGGTGGTGATATTTGTCTGAAAGAAGAATGAATTATATTTAACCCTAAAGGAACATGACCACTATCTACACTGATCCCGATTGTACACAAACCGAAGTGGATTCGACCCGATTTCAAACTTCCCTCACAAGAAATAAATTAAATAACATTTTTTAAACAAGATTTCACACGACTAACATGCAGTGGACAGTTCAAGGACCAAATCCGAAAAAGTAGCATCATAAGTATGGTATCAATACCGAATATTCAATTGTTCCACGATTTGTTTCGTGTCCCCAAATCAACGGAAATGAAAAAAAGATATACAGTTTCAGTATGGTATTATCTTGTTACACACCGTCGATACCGAGCTTTTGTATTTACCTTTTTGAACTTTGTTGTTTAGAAGAACGTCTGGTACCAGGGGGTCCATCATCATCGCCAAAACTATCACTGTCAGTTCCTGAAAGACAATTAGAGACAATAACAGTGTGGCTGATAACGTGAAAATAGGCACTCTGGCGTTCGATCAACATTGCTTACCCACTGCCCGATTGTGATCAAGAGAGACCTATGCTATTCCGCTTATGCGGCTCGCTCCGAATCCACAACCATCACAAGAGCAGATCCGAAGCTAATGACGTATGTTTAAGAGTACAGTGCGTGTCAAAAATATTTTGGACATACCCCCCCCCCCACCACCACCACCATATAAAATCCAAGAAGCTATGTTAATTAATCCACACAATTATCAATAAGGGTATATGAACCAAATATTAGAAAATATTTAATAAAAATTTGTTAATGTTACGGAATGATTATTTTCAATCAAGTGCCAGTCCTTTCTAAAGTGGTTCAACCGCCCCAAAATCCATTGGTTGAATGGTCGTATGTTTTTGTTCAAATAAAGACCCCTTTTTTTATATAATGAAACAAATCCCCAAATCTCCATAAAAAGCGATGAATTATTTATACCATAGAGCTTTAATTACATCAGTATCTAGAACTCGGTAGGTCTAGTAAAACCGTCTGGGTAATATAACACACAGAGCACACTAAGGGTACGGCGTACCAAATAGTTTCTGTTTTAGACCTTTGATTATATAGGATTTGGGGACTCAACAGGTTTAGTGGAACGGTCTGAATATAAATGATTTGGTCGTGCGAAGAAATACAATAGGAGATTTTGTCTAAAACCAAATACACCAAATAGATGGTGAAACAGAAATTTGGCTCCCGCTACGTTTTGTATTTTCCTACCATCCCACTCATGCGCTGGTGCTGGCCATCGTTCTACGATTTGTCTTGAACTGGTCTATTTTCCCCTGAAAGCAGACTTTAACCCGTATTAGTAGCAATAGAAATCTTGTTAAGCAGACTTTAACCCATATTAGCAGTAATAGAAATCTGGTTAATCGATTGTGACCGCGGGGTCCTTCAGATTTTACAAGAGTCTGGAAGGACTCACCAAATCTTTAATACTGGAAACGTATAATAATAATTATCTCCATACACTTACAGGACCGCGGATAACCGACTAGTATTTAATGCTACTAATTCGGATAGACCCAAAAGAGTAACACATCAAGTACAATCACATATTTATATGGAATTACTTTGAATTAATTGTCGAGATCAAGTGTTGACATTAATAAGCATTGATGTAATAATGTACAATATAAGAAATAAAACAGCAGTAAATAATACAATTAATAGACGAGACGAGACAGGCCATATTTGCAGTTAATTTCTATCTATAAAAGTTTTATAAACTTTATATAGAGAATCTCCAACCAGTCTTTTTTGATATAAAAAAATATCAACACAAGTTGATAAAGTAACAAAAAACGAGGCTCACCCAATCCCTTCTTACATGCACAAATAGATAAATATAGTTCTTTGCTGTAGATTTCACTTTTACTGAACATCACGGCGTAGTGATACATCATTTTTTGACAGCAATTCAACCATTGCAAAGTCCTTTATATTGACCCAGTGTTTCCATCAAGGTCAATTGAATAACAATAGTTCATTTTTAATAAAAAAAAGTTACTTTTAATAAGAAATGAACTGTTCTTTGAAAATAAAAAAAAAGTAGTTCCTTTTCAACTGACCAATCAAATTCATGTAAAGCGATATCTCCTAAGGAGATATCGCAATAGATTATGAAATATATCAAACAAGCGATATCTACTGTAGAATGTATTATTGGGTGATAAAATAAATTAACATGTAATTAGCATTACATAACATTTCATCCTTTGCTAGTCACCTTTTAATAGCACACACGCAATATTTATGTTTTGAAGGAATAAAATAGTTATTATCCCGAGAGATTAATTCAATTTGAATGCTTTCACTTTTAAAATTAATAATGTATTATCTTAAATATTCAAGACTTAAATTATAACAAATAACTACTATAACCTGAACGGTTATATTATGATCAACGATCCATCAGGCCTTACCTATGACAAGTTGCAGGTCGCGTGTAATTATTGAATATATAAATATATTTTGTGGGCAAATAAAACGATTTCCCAAAACATTTCTTTTGATATATATTGTAACTCTACCCTCTGTTAGTTTACCTTTGTCTTCGTTACTGAACTCTTCACCATCAACTGTATTCTTGTTTGAACCACCATCATTCTGACCATCAGATGATTTCCTGCTGTGACCACCACCGACACCCTGACCATCAGATGGGTTCTTACTGTGACCACCACCGCCACCCTGACCATCAGATGATTTCCTGCTGTGATCATCACCGCCACCCTGACCATCAGATGATTTTCTGCTGTGATCATCACCGCCACCCTGACCATCAGATGATTTCCTGCTGTGACCGCCACCCTGACCATCAGGTGATTCCCCGCTGTGACCACCACCGCCACCCTGACCACCAGATGTATTCTGGTTTGATCCGCCATCACCCTGACCATCAGATGATTTACTGCTGTGACCGCCACTACCACCCTGACCATCGTATGATTTCCTGCTGTGATCATCACCGCCACCCTCGCCATCACACGATTTCGTGCTCTGATCATCACCGCCACCCTCACCATCAGATGATTTCCTTATGTTATCATCAACGCCACCCTCACCATCTGATGGGTTCTTACTGTGACCACCACGACCACCCTGACCACCAGATGTATTCTGGTTTGATCCACCATGACACTGACCATCAGATGATTTCCTGCTGTAACCATCCCCGCCACCCTGACCATCAGGTGATTCCCCGATGTGACCACCACCGCCACCCTGACCACCAGATGTATTCTGGTTTGATCCACCATCACCCTGAACATCAGATGATTTACTGCTATGACCGCCACCACCACCCTGACCATCGTATGATTTCCTGCTGTGATCATCACCGCCACCCTCGCCATCACATGATTTCGTGCTGTGATCATCACCGCCACCCGCACCACCAGATGATTTCTTGTTGTTATCATCAACGCCGCCACCCTCACCATCTGATGGGTTCTTACTGTGACCACCACCACCACCCTGACCACCAAATGTATTCTGGTTTGATCCGCCACCCTGACCATCAGGTGATTCCCCGCTGTGACCACCACCGCCACCCTGACCACCAGATGATTTACTGCTGTGACCGCCACCATCAGTTCTCTTTTTCCTATTATCACTACTAACACCACACTGACTAGCAAGTCCAAAAGTCAATCTAGGGATACTGATGTTCCTAACAGTTCCTGGGTGTAAAAGAAACACGAATCGTTTATTCTTCAAATGGATATTAAATGGTGTTTGCTTTAATCAAGGGGGCCGTGGTGGCCCAGTGAGTAAGACGCTAGGTCGCTAACCACGAGTTCTCGGGTTCGCTCCCGGTATTAGCCGAGAAAGATCCTCGGGATTCTCTGGCGTGGTTTTCCCTTGTCAGTGATGCAGGAGGGATGTCATTGCAAGGACAGTGTCTAGTCGTTCGGAAGGTGCGAAAAACTAGGTTCCGTGTACGTATTAGGATGCACGTAAAAGAACCCTGGCAGTCAGAACTCGAAATAAGAGTATACCCCCCTGCAGACCCTAAAGCCCATAGATCTCGAGGCCGTCATCTGCATTTTCGCAACACAGAAAGCTTGAAAAGAACTGATTATTTGAAATATGACGCAAGCTCACTGTCTCATAATTAGTGGTGCGGTATTTTACACCGTTCTCCAAAATTGTCCTCATTGCAACCTGTATGGCGTATGTCCGTTTTCATTAGCCCCGTCTTCAGTGGCCCAGTCGGAGCAAACAGCAGGATGTTAAACCCCATTTCATTTCGTTTTCATTAGCCTAAGACGTTAAACACAATTTAATTTCATCTCGTGTGTAATCAACTGGAATGTAAAATCAAGTCTCACCTGTTGCCGCATTACCAGACACGAAAACCTGATCTTCCGTTATTGTCTTTTTATCATCACCACTATTGCCATCAGGTGTGTTTTTTGTTCCATCCTGACCATCAAATATGTTCTTTTTGTCGACTGGATATTTAAAAAAAATACAATCTATTTAATCTACCAAACCCAAATATGAAACAAATAGAGGGTTGTAAGCCTTTAGAACTGTAATTTCGTAAATTTTGTAAAGATCTAAATGTTTCTGAATCGTTTCGCTTGGATCTGGGAGCATTAGAACATACACAAACATACAATACATATAAAAACTACATACTGGGTGAGATACAGAAATAGTGATATGAAGGTCTAATCACAACGGCTGTTATTGTGCGATAACAATTACTGAAAACAATGATAAACAGTCAAAAATTACAAGTCAGGGGCAATAACTCCGGCTGTAATTTTCCAAAAACATTCAACATCGACATAAATAGTTATTAGTCTAACTATTCATTAAAAATTGCTCGAGATCAGCTGCCAACAACTCAACTCTTCAGAGAGAGCTTGATCACAGTAAACAATGAGAAACACGCTCTTTCAAAAATGCTCAAAATCGAAAATGACCGCCTTTACCCCATTTCTAACTATTTCAGTTAAGATCCCAACTCTGAATATGAATGCAAGTAACGGATATTCACGAACAATTACATAAATTATGGGCATTAACTCTTTAAATGAAATCGAAAGGTACCTTTACCTCAATACAAACTATTCACGATTCATTATAATGAAAATAGGCGACGAGCTTAACTCTGATTAGTGAGTAAAGATAAGTGCCGACACGGACGGGGTCGACGTCAATATATGACAACATTCATGTGTGTAACCATTTGGAATTACCTGTTTCCGGGTTCGGGTTAAAATGCTTTATTCGTATTTTAATTGGCGTTTGAGATGGTTGGTTAAAACAAGTTTGACTACGTCTAGAACAGATGACTCCGGTGACTCTAGAACAGATGACTCCGGTGACAAATGAACTGTCCACAAGACGAGAAGACGACGAGAGCGCGAATACTAGGATCACTGGGTAAAAAATATAATTTTAGATTTGGTGTGATTTTACTGTACATGTAAATGTTCAAATTATGACACCTGTAGAAAAAGTTTACTGACCGTTATTGGCAGTCCCAGATGTCTGTCCATCCACTCTAGAGTTCTGGTCTTCTCTGGCGTGGTTTTCCCTTGTCAGTGATGCAGGAGGGATGTCATTGCAAGGACAGTGTCTAGTCGTTCGGAAGGTGCGAAAAACTAGGTTCCGTGTACGTATTAGGATGCACGTAAAAGAACCCTGGCAGTCAGAACTCGAAATAAGAGTATACCCCCCTGCAGACCCTAAAGCCCATAGATCTCGAGGCCGTCATCTGCATTTTCGCAACACAGAAAGCTTGAAAAGAACTGATTATTTGAAATATGACGCAAGCTCACTGTCTCATAATTAGTGGTGCGGTATTTTACACCGTTCTCCAAAATTGTCCTCATTGCAACCTGTATGGCGTATGTCCGTTTTCATTAGCCCCGTCTTCAGTGGCCCAGTCGGAGCAAACAGCAGGATGTTAAACCCCATTTCATTTCGTTTTCATTAGCCTAAGACGTTAAACACAATTTAATTTCATCTCGTGTGTAATCAACTGGAATGTAAAATCAAGTCTCACCTGTTGCCGCATTACCAAACACGAAAACCTGATCTTCCGTTATTGTCTTTTTATCATCACCACTATTGCCATCAGGTGTGTTTTTTGTTCCATCCTGACCATCAAATATGTTCTTTTTGTCGACTGGATATTTAAAAAAAATACAATCTATTTAATCTACCAAACCCAAATATGAAACAAATAGAGGGTTGTAAGCCTTTAGAACTGTAATTTCGTAAATTTTGTAAAGATCTAAATTCTGAATCGTTTCGCTTGGATCTGGGAGCATTAGAACATACACAAACATACAATACATATAAAAACTACATACTGGGTGAAGTCAGGGGCAATAACTCCGGCTGTAATTTTCCAAAAACATTCAACATCGACATAAATAGTTATTAGTCTAACTATTCATTAAAAATTGCTCGAGATCAGCTGCCAACAACTCAACTCTTCAGAGAGAGCTTGATTACAGTAAACAATGAGAAACACGCTCTTTCAAAAATGCTCAAAATCGAAAATGACCGCCTTTACCCCATTTCTAACTATTTCAGTTAAGATCCCAACTCTGAATATGAATGCAAGTAACGGATATTCACGAACAATTACATAAATTATGGGCATTAACTCTTTAAATGAAATCGAAAGGTACCTTTACCTCAATACAAACTATTCACGATTCATTATAATGAAAATAGGCGACGAGCTTAACTCTGATTAGTGAGTAAAGATAAGTGCCGACACGGACGGGGTCGACGTCAATATATGACAACATTCATGTGTGTAACCATTTGGAATTACCTGTTTCCGGGTTCGGGTTAAAATGCTTTATTCGTATTTTAATTGGCGTTTGAGATGGTTGGTTAAAACAAGTTTGACTACGTCTAGAACAGATGACTCCGGTGACTCTAGAACAGATGACTCCGGTGACAAATGAACTGTCCACAAGACGAGAAGACGACGAGAGCGCGAATACTAGGATCACTGGGTAAAAAATATAATTTTAGATTTGGTGTGATTTTACTGTACATGTAAATGTTCAAATTATGACACCTGTAGAAAAAGTTTACTGACCGTTATTGGCAGTCCCAGATGTCTGTCCATCCACTCTAGAGTTCTGGTCACTACAGGTGGCCAGGGCTCTAGAATTTTCTTTTCCAGGACGTGTCGGATCCATGGTGGAACTGTCAACTGTTGTAGTGGGTTGTGTCGGTGTCGGATTTCTGTTTGCAGAGTCTGTATTTGCCGAACTACATGTGACAGTTTTATTCTGCGATGGTGTAGTCGATGTAGAAGAGGCTATTGCTGTAGGAGACTGTATCGGTATCTGATTTCTGTTTGTAGAGACTGTATTTGCCGAGCTAGATGCTACTGTTGTAGAAGCCGATGCGTAAGTGACTGGCGGCGCTGATTCTGAGTTGGGTGGAGTCGGATCCGATGACTTGGTTGAAATATCCTAAAATGAAATGTATGTTTGTATTAAATTAGCTATACTAGTCCTATTGCTATATCTATTAATAATACAATTGTTAAAAACATAAATCACACTCTAAATAGGTCATTGATAAGGTGTCACGGTAACCTCTCGAAGGGTTCATAACCTTAGTATAACATATGTTTACACCATTTGCGTACAGGGTCGGCCATTTTGTTGGGCAGTTTCAGGGGTCCGAGTTTCACGAAATTCGAACTCACAGTCATTACGTTATTATGGTTATATATTCGTGCGGTTTTGAAAAACTGTGACCCCTAGAGGGCCAACAAGTTAAGAACGCAATTTTTCGCACAATCAGGTCCATAATCCAGGAAATATCGATAGGAACCGAGGTCGTTGGGTTTTAAACATACATTTTAAGTTTTAAAAAATGGGATAAAAATATTGACCTCTATAGTGGCCACAAGCTAAAGACATGATTTTTCGTACACTCAGGGGCCACAATCCACAAGATAAAAAATGGTATAAAAATTGTGACCCGTAGAGTGTCCATAAACAAAATTTGGACGGACGGACGAATGGACGCCTGTGCGGACAGGGGCGACGACAATATACGTCCACATAATTGATACTCGTGGACTGTTGGCGCATAGATCTGATAATGGGAACAATATTGGACAACATTGGTGTAGTCTTGAAGTACGTGGACAAAACAAAATTTAATCTTATGTTTATTCGTATTCAGGTGCTGTAACATGTATTATAATAGCAATCATCCTAACGAACGGTAACCTAGCTAGGTTTCTCTCGGTCATCTAGTTACCTCCCACAGCGTATTATTAATGAATAGTCTCTCTCTCTCTCTCTCTATCTCTCTCTCTCGCTTTCTCTCTCTCAATCCTCTCTTCATTATTCAATAATCAATAATAAAAAATATACCATTCTTTGCCTTGCATTCAGGCGGAGAGGGGTGCATGGGTTCTCAGAGCATTTATTCTCCTACATTCATTGAAATGACGCTGAAAAACAATAACTTTAGATATAACATTTAAAGCCCAAAAAAGACCTGAAATAATGCATCTTTAATATTGTGAATTAGGACAGGATGGCTGGTGCAATACCTGCCTTTCTTTTAAAGCGAAAATTTTATATTTTCTAAGAAAGTCAAAACATAATTATTTCTATGTCTTTTGCTCAAGAAGTTATCAACTCACTATTTACGACCATGGGCATTATTTCCCACCCTCAAAAATCTATGACACAGGAAATAACAACATAATTACCTCCCTTGTTTTGCTATTGACAATATGGGGCAGCCATTTTACAACGTTGGAATTTGAAGTTCAAAATGATATTTTTGCCAATTTCTCAGCTGGCAATAGTGAATTATAGGATTAATAGGATTATTCATTAACAGGGTATGACTGTTTATGGATACCATCTATTTTAAGGCTTTATTTTAATACATTTTTAAAAAATAACTTGAAAATTGGAAATTGCAACTTTAAAATCAAGATCGCCTTTCAAAGAGGTGTATATCATATTGTGATCTCTATTATAGTGGAGCATTTCACGTGTAATTATATGTTATTTTATAACTGTAGTTTGTGTTCCAACTATCGGTATTATATGATATAATAATATGTTATTGTTGTTCGTTTGGTTGTTATGTGATTTATTGGACAAATCCATATAGCCTATAACAAAGGCATATAGATATTCTCTAGCTTGTCATAGTAACGCATTATGAATGACGTGACGTCATACTTTCAAAAGCTTTTACACATCTGAATACCTTACTGACCCACAGCTTTTCACAATTAGTGATCTTTCAGGGAGCGATTATTGCTTATTGTCGTATCCTTGAGATTGTAGTCTACTTATGTATGATGATCATTCTGAACATCAGAGACACGTTATCATTTAGTTTTCGAATTATATTGAAAAAATATTGTTTAAACCATCTTTACGAAATGGGGATGATGCCAGATATATTGTAATGAATAAGATTGGTTAATTGGGGTAACAAGGCTCTTACAAACCTGTATTCTAATCCAGTGACGTAGCAACGCTTCTCTTAGTTCAGCTCTGAACATAAGTTCTCGTCACACTCGCCCTGTACGTTCAGGAATCGACCTATTGACTCCTTGTCGAAAGTTTTTCAGTTCCTAGTAAATTTTACTTAGCAACTTTTTCCTGCTAAACGGCTACTAAACGGCTGCGTGTCAGTCCCTGTGAACGCCTGTACAGTGTACTTTTGGCTTAAAACATGGATATTATAAGCCAGACAGACGAGATATTTACACTCCACACCTGCAACAGCCCCCTCCCCTCCCCTACCCGTCTAAGCCACTTTAATCCTGCACAAACAGACCACCCTCCCCTCCCATCTTAACCACCTTAATCCTGTACAAATGTCTGAAGCTCTGTGATACCTTTTCAGTTGCAATGGGCAGTTTTATGTGCCTATATAACTATGTCTATATCTTACTCCGGAACGGGACGCTTTATATCAGAAGGTCTGTCATTTAGTTGAGTGGTGTGGTTTCACTTCCATGCATGTATTAGAAATTATTCCACTGTTGATGTTCTCCGTCTTGCTCCAGCTAGAGAATGGATTGTTCTAAGGACTTCCTTTGAGCAAGGTATGTAATCATTCGATTACGATAGCGTTGGTAGGCAACACTGCCCTTTTAAATGCAAAACCAAAAAAAAAACAGGAAATGTTTGATAACGTTCGAAGCCGACGCGATTTCCTACCATGAAGTGTGGGTGGGTGTGACCATGTACCCTCATTTCTGAAAAAGTGCCCTAGAATTTCGAAAGAGCTACCTCAAATACTTACATAAATGTCCGCGTCAATGTCATGATATTGACATTGCCCTAATGACAACACCGTGTTCTTTTTTCCTGCTGCCCTTGCCTTGTTGCAAATAGATACAGTGATCAATACTGCCTGCCTGTTGGTCCTCAGCCGCCGTGGGACAGGAAGCCAGTTATAACGCAGTTGATCGACTGATTGTTGCTGGTATTCAATTTCCTCTGATTTCAGTTTCGATTTTAAAAAAGTTCGCAGTTTGCAATCATTTATAATCACAAATCTTCGATTACCCTCTTATTAAAATTGTCAGGGGTGGACTGGGTAGCTCTGTGCCCTCAGACCAACTGGTTTCGTTGGGCCCCCATTGTTGTGAAGAGTAGTTCAGTGGATACGAAGATGAATTTTGGTTATTTTGACAAAAATTTATGTCAAATTATGTTTTTCTAATCGGGGCCTATGGACCCCTAGCCCTCAGACTGTTCGATGCCCAGCCCGCCGCTGAAAACAGATGACAGTAAACTGTACTAGAACAACTTGCACTGGAAGTAGGCACAAATTTATTGAGTCGCTACAATATTGCAGCTAAGCTTGTGCGTGGCAACTAGTTGGGTCGCCTACCTAAGCTAATGTTTTTTTTTCTGCTACCTGTTCTACCCACTGCAATCGAATTATTGAAATAAAATTATACAATTTGTTAGTCCCGAAATGACCTAGTTTGTGTTTAGTAGACATTGACTCCATTGACCCCGCTCCCCCCGCCTCGCCAACCCCACTGTTTTAAGTGCTCTTACGTACATAAACCGACTTATATGAACGGACGATGTCCTTTGAAATTGAGATTACCCCTCTTCTTAAATAGTTTCATTTTTGCTCTCATAATGAAAGATAGCAGTCCTATAAAAAGCACAAACATACTTCCTTGTAGAAAGTAAGTAATGTTTATACATGCAACGTAAACTTTGTAACAAAACTAAGGTTACATTACCTGCCCGTGTGTTAAAATCAATTAATAAACTTACCTGTACGATACGCTGTAGCCCTGTTATGCAGATATCAATATTGCGAAAATAAAACTTTGCCTTTCCATGAAATGGTGTTTAACGTCCTACTGTCAGTGGCGTAAATCTAGAGGGGGGGGGGGGGTGCCACCCCACGAAAAAATAAAATAGTCTGATGCAAAATAAGTGTAGTCGATCGCAAAATTATGCATCGGCGACTAAATGAATTAATGAGGTAAACAAAAACTGCCACAATAGAAGGAAAAAACCCAAATACCTAATATATGTATGAATATATCTGTATACGCATGATTGCTTTGATTCGATATTACAATACGCGCCAATTGTCCATAACTCAAATTAGTAAAAACTGTTATGCGTTCAATAATAAAACAGGAACGCCTCAATGACAAAATCGGCGATCAAACCTGACTTCGCGCCGCCGCTTCATGAAAATATAAGGACATAGTCATATCTTTGCTAATTTTTGTATATAGGTCCATGTAAATCATGTATATTATCAATTTCATAAGTTGTCACAGATTCACAGTACTTTGTACGTTCTTGAAACATTCTTAATAAATAACATGAATTCCCATGCGTAGTACTCAATTTTATTCATGTTATAAGTGTTTTCTAACCATCAGGATTCTGCGAATTCTTCCCCCAAAGTACAGGACTCTACAGGGACTCTAGATTCCAAAACATATCCGGGGGAGCAAGCCCCCGCCCCGCCCCCAACACAATCGATATGTACGCCCCTGTCTACTGTCGTTATGCCCCGACAAATAATGAGGACGGGGTCATCAGTTATGAAAGATTGAGTGTACAGAACTTTATCGTGTTGATTTCTTAGAAATTCTACTTTCACTTCCGTGATTATTTCTTCGCTCAGTTTATTATACTGTCAATCATTCAAAGCTACTCAAGCGGGACTGAATCTTGTGAATGAAAGGCGAATCTTGTGTCATGCGGCGAGAGAGAGAGAGAGAGAGAGAGAGAGAGATGGTCATTTCGGGACTAATATAGTTCAATTTTATTTCAATAATTCGCTTGCCTGTAGGGGTCTTTAGCTGTGAGAGGACTCGGAGAAAACCCACGAGAATGAACAGGCGGTCCTAGGAAAGAAGAGAAAGGGTACGTGGGGTATAGAGCCTACGCATGTGTCAAAATATCGAAGCACGAATATATTTTGATATATCCAGGCATGTATTGGATATTAGCAGTAGAAATTGGTCCATGGGGTTTGATATGGTTAACTAGTCCCGAACGAAAGGTAGACTACATGCAATAATATTTTAAGTCTGTCTGATTTGGGTATGGTTGTGTGGAGGTGGTTGGCAGTTCTCAGGCGCCGCCATTAGTCTGAAGGTGTAATGCCTCCCGCAGAAACTGGGTAATCATTAGAGAGCATGGTGGAATGAACATGCAGAGAAAGGGGGCGTGGGAGCACTCCTGGACACAAATTTTTTATTTAAATTGGGGAGCCAGGGGAGTATGGTGCTGGCTCCTTTACCATTGATGTCAGTCCCGTACAGGGTCCCCATGTTTGCAGAGAAATTTCCTCGGGGTGGGATTTCCCTTATTGGTGCGGGTGGAGGGCGTACACGGATAAGCGTCATGTCGTTAAGATGGTAAAAGAAAACCCAGTTTCAAAACCGATCATTAAACGACAATTGAAACACGATGAAATCCCATATAAATAGATGACACATATTAATTAATTGCACATTTATCTTTTTAAAAAGTATTGAGCAATCAAACTTATTATTTATACTTAGTCTAAGCATAAAATATTCATAATCAAACTCAGTGAAGGTTGTAAAGCACCTGGTAGTGAAACTATACACTAAGTTTCAACACTCTCCATCAGTTAGAACAAAAGCATCGACCAATGAAATTGCTTAGCTCTGTCCATCTTTAGCGGGAAATGTTAATCAATGAACTCAGTCAAGACATTCACCAAATGAACACACCTACATCAAGTTTAAACAATTTACCTCAATTAAAAGCAGAGTTATTATGGATAATTACAGCCTTATAGGATGAATATTGCATACTATTAAAAGTGATAGTCCCCCCCCCCCCCCCTAGATATACAATGTCAGTCAATTTTACAGCAACCCCCGAGAACACGTCCCGCCCCCTCGTTGCTCTGAGCTAGTTACCGCCCTGTAGTCACTGTGTGCTATTATAGAATGGATACTGCATACTATTAAAGCGACAGTCTTATATACTGTTATTATAAGCTGCAATTGATGAATAATTGCATATAATTAAAGAGATAGCTTCTTCCAAGTGTCTCTGTCAACAAGGCAGATGATGACATCATTCTTAATCTCCATCACCAAGCCATCAGAGACTTCTTTACCAAAAAGCATATTGTGTTTCCTGCTACCAGAAAATCATATTGTATGGTGGCAAAGGAATCTCCTGTTAACAGATGAATCAGTATGATGGCAACCTCCATCCCTGGTTCCAGAGCCTCCCTGTTGTTGGTGCCTTGTTTTGTTTTATGATGCGTTCAAGAAGTTCGTCAAACATGGGTGGGGTCATCCAGACGGAGTTACTCCATCAGCTATTCTCCTCTCACGTTCCAGCCGTTCCTCGGCCAACAGTTTCTCACTCTCTTCTTCTTCCTTGTTCTGCCATGTCATTGTACGCTTGTTCTTTTTCCAACAGAACTTGAGTGAAACCAATATTCAACATGTTAAAGGCTCCACGGTTCTGTTTAAAAATGTTGAAAATCTGGAAAATCTTAAAGTGTTGAACCCATGATGGAACAACCCCTATTTTGATACCCTACGTTGTCCGAGCGTACTGCCGATAGATCAGACGTAGTAAGAACTGCGTGAGACCTACATTCACGTATTCAAAACGAGTAACTTACTGACAACCTACTGGGAACTGTTAAAACAACGTAGAAACGTATTGCTAACTGATACAGAACTTGTAAATTTGCTTTGAACGCAATACAGACGTAATGCGGTCGAGCAAGAAATTGATCCGTTGTAACACGTCCCTAGTAGGCTCGAAATATGTCAATTCCGTTCATAGTACGGCAATTCCCTTGGTAGTCACGTTGTCACCCCGTCTAACTGCAGAAACGGAGAAGTTCTAAAACACATTCCCGTCCACGGCACGAAGTTCACTCGCAGATCGGGGTGGCGTCCTTCCTGCGCTGCTACGGCGACGGAAAATGGTCTCAGAGCCCGTCAAGATCGTCATAAGCGTGGTAAAAGCGTGGTGGAAACGCCAGCTATCGTGCTATGGTCTCCATGGTTGTCAATGATCGCCGAGTCACGGCGTATGTTTTGAGCATGTTCAAAACAAACGCCAAGGTTCTGCGATCTGACGTGGAAAGCTGTGAGAATGCGACGTTTTTCAAGTTTGTAATTTTTTGGGACATTTTCTTGCGTTGTGTTCACGTTTGCCGGCGGCCTTATGCGTTTTCTGGTCGCCGTACGGTCACAGCAGCGCACTAAGGACGCCTCCCCGGTCTGACGGGGGCCTAAACAGTTCCTATTACGTTCACTCTGTTCGCACATAGTTTGAGTCCGTTTGGCGACGTTTCCCAGAACGTAGTTAAAAATGTTTGGTGTGATGGGTGCTTTATCAGACCCTCTGCTCTGCATACGGATAAGGGGGAACCACGCCTGAAAATCAAATTTTCAGGAATAGTTGAATTCGAAAGATGGTTTCCAGTGGGATTGCCACTGGCTGATACATTTTCGTTTTCTTACTCTTGACCGATATTCAGAAAATTTAATTCATAGTTTATATTGTGATAAAAATGCACCCTTATATCAAAATGCAGACTGATTGTCGAACAAAATGTATCACCGTACTCCTCTACAAGACAGACTATTTGCACGGTGGCTGATAATTGACATGAAAAATAATATAATTTGTTTTTTATAATTTTTACCCAAGTCAATTTTAATTTTCACCCAAGTCAATTTTAATATAATTTGTTTTTTTATAATTTTCACCCAAGTCAATTTTAATATAATTTGTTTTTTTTTATAATTTTCACCCAAGTCAATTTTAATTTCCACCCAAGTCAATTTTAATATAATTTTTTTTTTATAATTTTCACCCAAGTCAATTTTAATATAATTTGTTTTTTATAATTTTCACCCAAGTCAATTTTAATATAATTTGATTTTTATAATTTTCACCCAAGAATTTCCACTCAGCGCGTGACGTCATCTCAATTAGCCTCGTTTCCATTGTAATGTATTATGTTTTATCTTATATGGTTCTCATCCTGTAATTAGCAGATTGCAATGTATTATGTTTTACCTTATATCAAATAGATATTTTTATACGCCCACATTTTCATATGGACGTATATTGTCGTTACCCCTGTCCGTCCGGACGTACATCCATAATTTGTTTGTGGACACTATACAGGTCACAATTCTTATCCGATTTTGACGAGACCTGAAATATAGGCTTATCCTCAAAAGATCTAGGTTCCTTTCGATATTGGCATGTATCGGATTGAAACTTCATGAATTATGGCCCCTGATTGTACGAAAAGTCATTTTTTTTTAGCGTGTGGACACTCTAGAGGTCACAATTTGTATCCGATTTAAAAAATAACGTTTGAATATATCACCGTTACGCCCTAATGATGATTGAGTTCGAATTTTCTGAAAATCTGATCGAAACTGCAGGACAAAATGGTCGCCCCTCGTACGCAAACTTTGAGAGAGAGAGAGATAGAGAGAGAGAGAGAGAGAGAGAGAGAGAGAGAGAGTTTAACGTCCCCTCGACACAAACTAGGTCATTAGTGTTTTGGAAACGAGGCTAATTGAGATGACGTCAAGCGCTGGGTGGAAATTCTTGGGTGAAAATTATAAAAATCAAATTATATTAAAATTGACTTGCGTGAAAATTATAAAAAAACAAATTATATTAAAATTGACTTGGGTGAAAATTATAAAAAACAAATTATATTAAAATTGACTTGGGTGGAAATTAAAATTGACTTGGGTGAAAATTATAAAAAAAACAAATTATATTAAAATTGACTTGGGTGAAAATTATAAAAAACAAATTAAATTAAAATTGACTTGGGTGAAAATTAAAATTGACTTGGGTAAAAATTATA